AAGGAAATTATAGCAAGCTAAAACAAGTACTGAACTGAACACCAGCAATAAACAGACAAGAGGGTAAAAGCATTAAGTAAACACATTAGTGTGAGACTGAAAATTTAACCAGAACATACCAATTCAAAGAAGCAAAACACAGTAAAAGCAGGTAGCAAAACTTTGAAGACTGGCCACAGTACTAGTAACAAGAGAGAATGTTTTTTGAGTATGAGTGTGAATTCAGAAAACTTAGTGTGTTTGTGTGTCTGTGTGTTAATGAAAAGCCAGGTATTTATAGTGTGAAAACAGGCAGAAAAATAAGGTAAGAAAATAATTATGGAACTGTGTACCAATTAAAATCAATCAGTATAAGAACTTCCTTTAATTAAGGAGTTAAAATCAAACGATAACATGTAATTGCTAAATAAGGAAAGAAATCGCATAGGGCTGAGTATGACCAATAAGGAAGTATCTCGAGTGCACTGTAGGTAATAGAGGCTAGGTTCATCAAATTCTAATCAAGAAAAGGTCTGTAAGTATCCAATACAAATGTAATCAAGGTAAGGGGATTAATCAAATTGAGCAGAAAAGGTAGGGGTCGAAATTTCAAAGGAAAGTATTCAAATAGGTCCAAGAAACAGGAAAATCAATACAAAAAGGAAAGAATCAATTACATGAATGCAATCAGAATTACACAAAGAGGTTTGAAATCAGCCCACAATTAAGGGTTATTTTGAGAGGGAAATTTAGCATATAAAAGAGTGCATAAACATTAGGTATGCGAGGCTAAACTCATGACAAAGGGAATAATCACATGACAGTCACATAGGTCAATTTCACCAACATTAGTAATAGAGAAAGGGGAGAGTATCAGAAGCATGCAAAAGGTCAAGTAGAGAGCCTTTCTAAAAACTGTAGTCCAGTTCCAATGATCACATAAAGTAACAGAAGTTGAAACAAAGATTTCGAAACTCAGTCGAGCAATAGATGAAACAACTTCAGAAACTCGAATAGGTCCAAAAAAATAGGGTTTTGAAACCAAACAAGTTCAGAGATGAGGAACCAGCAAATCACATAGCAAATAGTCTCCAGACTCGAATGAACCCAAAATTTTAGGGTTTTTACCATCAATCGAGTCATAGAGATGAAAAACAAGCAATCGAACAAATATTAACATGAAAATATATTCATAAACCTCAAAAGGAACTAAGACTTTTAACATGCAAACTCTAGTAGAAGAACAACATAAAGAACACAGTAGAACATGTTAAAAATCAGAAAAGCTTCGAAATAATTTAACAGAAACCCTAAATCGGAAAAGGTAAAGAGGTTTCGAAAGCAGAGTTTTGAAAGAAACTTTGAGAAAATGTTTAAAAGCTTAGAAAAAAAATACAGATCTACAACGGATCTAAACGAATCGGAAGAAACCTCGAAGGTTAGGGTTCCAGAAGAACCCAGAAGGTGAGAAAGGCATGGAAAGTCATTGATCTAAGCAGGAGAAGTCAAGATCAGGCTTGAATAGCCATGGCTGGCCGGAGCAAGGTCGGAGACAGCCATAGAACTGAAGTTAACCCAGGTCTGGAGCAAAACTTCTTCAAGATTTGGCCTTGAAAACATGATAATCAGGCAGGTAGAAGTCATAAGAGGTAGATACTAGCCTTTAATGGCTTTGGAAGCCATTGATTCAGGCGGTTTTAGGGTGGTGGTTGAAGGTGGCGGCTAGGGTTTAAGAGGGAGTTTGAGAGAGAATTGGGAGAGAAGGGGGAATTCAAAGGCCATTGACCAGTTGTACGAGAGACTCAAAGCTGCTGGTTATGCCACCCCCATCCTTGCCGCAACCCCTGAGAACCCTTCTCAGTGGGTTAACCCCAACAAATCCTGTGCATAGCACTCTGGCATGAAAGAGCACACCATCGATGAATGTCATTCTTTGAAAGACAAGATCAAGACTTTAATTGATAACAAGATTATTATGGCAAAGGAACCCGCTCCAAATGTCCGCAACAATCCTCTGCTAGACCATAAGGGTAGATGCATCCCCACGATTGAAATTGAGGATGATTGGTAGGTGGAAAGTGATTAGGGTTAGGGGTAGTTGGGAATTAAAAAAGGAAAGGTTTAATGTGAGCCGTTGATCTAAGTGATCAACGGCTGGGATTAAAAGGGGATCCGGGCGAGTTATTTAAAAGGGTCGTGGGTCGGGTAGATTAGGACTTGGGTCAGGGTAATTGGGCCTCAGGTTGGGTCTAATTAGATGTTCAGATCTGGCTAAAATTGAAATTCAAATGGGCTAACATTTAAATAACCATTTTTTCCTTATTTATTTTATAAAAAATAGTAAAATAGTTTCTGGAAATAAATTAAAAGAACTAAATTATAAAAAATATATAATTATCAAATAAAAAATACTGAAGTCTAATTACAATTAAATTTTAAAAGAGGCCAATATTGTAATTATATGTAATTTAGTTTTTAAAATACTAAATAAATTTGTAAAAATATGCAAAACATATGTTAGCTATATTTTAGTATAAATATGAGAATCCAATAAATGAATCACCAAAAATAATAATTTTGAGGATAATTATTGGGTTTTTCTTGATAAAATAGGGTAATAAATTGATTTAAAAATTAAGGAAAAATAATAAAACGTTTGGAAATACTTATATATGCGTACATATGCTATTTTGAAAGTATTTTGCATACTAAAATATACAGGAAAAAATTGGGTATCAACATAAATAAAGCTTATTTTTTTACAAAAACACTCATTTCAAAAAAAAACTATAAGTTTGACTAATGGCCTATAACAAAGGACAGCATGACAAAAACAAAATGACTATTTTTACAAAAATAGCCCTTCGACACTTCCGAATGAGGTTGAGAGGTTGTCCCGGCAAAAACGGATAAAAATAAAGACGAAATGGTAAAAGATGTCAAGAAGGAGCAAAGTAATCATTTTGTACGGAAATAGCCCTTCGGCGCTTCCGAGAAAGGTTTTAAGGCTATTTCGGCAAAAATGGTTCAACATTGGGGAAAATAAATAAAATATTAGCTAAATTTATGAAAAGAGCCATTCGGCGGTTCTGAAGAAGGTTTTGAGGTTGTAAAAAACATAATTGGACGCAAAGACAAAAACAATGAAGAAAACAAAAGCAGCAAAAATATTTTATTATTATTATTTTTTTTAAAATTAAAAGAAAATTGAAAAATATTATAGACACAACGATTTCGAAAACTCTTGACAAAAATGGGGGCCGAACCCGATGAAGGTTGCCTACGTACCCCTGGAATTGTGAAAATCGGACCTGCGTAGTTCGAATCAAGACTAGACCATGTTTATTTTATTTTTTTATTTAGTAAAATCAAATTATCTGTACAAAACTAGGGGAATAATTTTTTATTTATTTTGCTCAACTAATTTCCTAAAGTTGGTCAACAAATGCAAGCAAGCCTTCCAAATGATATAACGAGTAGCACATAAGTGAACATGATGGTCTCAAAAAGGATACCTGTCTTATACGGACCCGGCCCCTGTGCCGAGCTTCGCTAAGTCAGATGCACATGATGCAACAAAACGATCCTACTAGGGATAACCAGGCATGTGGCTTGTTCTTCTATTTTTTTTAAAAAAAAATCCTAGGGGATGAGGTGTATTTAGACTAGCCATAAAACAAGCGGACAATAATCCTAGGGGATGAGGTGTACCGGGAGCAATACTTCTCCGACTTAACTACTGGACCCTCCCCGTTCTTAAATATGGGTGACTAATAATCCTTCACCGAGAGCCCAGGCCTACCGACTTTATCTCAAAAAATAATAGGGCGCGTATCTGTGATTCCCGAGGTTGTATTCAAAAGACTTAGAGGGGGTGCGCAAGAAGACAATTTATAACACAGTTCAACAATATCAAAGCGGTAAAGAGCAGACAAGTAGCACATTAGGCCCAAATAGATCACAATATTTACAAAATTAATAAAGACAAATAAAAAGTCAACATATACAAGCTCGAATTCTTATTAGTCCCCAGCGGAGTCGCCAGAGTTGTCNATAGGGATTATTTTTGTTATTCAGAGTCGCCACTTGGGATTGATTTTTGGTGTTCCAAGTCACCTTTTATTTGAATCCCTAGTCAAAGAAAGGCTTGACTCATTTATTATTGGTCTGCGAAAATAAAGTTCGGATAACGAATTCTATTGACCGGGGAGAAGGTGTAAGGCATTCCCCGAGTCCTATGGTTCTAGAACGGTCACTTTATTGACTACATCTAGCTTTAATTTTAAATAAACCGTGCTTTATTTGATTTTAATGTTTGCCTATCTCCACTTTTATTGTTGATGACTTTATTAATCTCAAACTAGGACGAGTATCCCCGACCCTAGCTTACACTAACCACGACGAGTATCCCCAACCTTAGTTCGTGCGTCATACCCAAAGTTGGAGTCTACTCGAAGTTAATTAAATAACAAACTATTATTTTATTAGAAAGAATTAGAACAAGACGTCCTCACAACCTTGCCATTTTATTTATGTCTTTATTCCGAAGCGAGTCTTCCCGGCATCGGTTAAGACGAAATTATTTACCTTAGTTAAGATGAATTACTATAGGGGTTAGATTATGGAAAAATAATTGTTCATCTTTATTATGAAAAGAAAATGTCTCTTTATAGGTTAATGGTTGTAGGACAACATATGAATATTATTGATATTGGAACTTATAACTTTATTCTTATTATCATTATTATTAATTAAAAGAATGAAATTAGTATGAACAAAACAAAAAATAAATAAATAAATTATGTGCATATGTTCTTGCCAATATACATAGCGCTCAAATTATTTAAGAGTATCTAAACTATTAAATTAGTTCAAAAAATCTGATTTTTGGATTAATTATTGTGGGAGAACATGACAATTTAATATTGGATCAGCTCTATCTATTTTAAAGAAATGGGCTAACTTCTTGATAAAAAGAATGATCAACTTATTCTGAAGTAAGCTGTTGGGACCAATTCTAGTTAAACATAAATGTAACTCATTAGCTGATATGAGCTAATAGCTTAACAACTGTACAAACAGCCCACACTATTTCCATGTGACTTGGAAGAAAGAAAAATTTCAGCTTTCACTAACTAAAGTAGTACTAAAGGGGACTAGTAAAAGAAACATAAAATCTAGAACGAACAATTGGGTAACGAGAAATCAACTAAAGCCGAAAATAACATTGCTACTGTAGGGGAATAATAAAACTAGATCATTATGTGATTCTTTGATGATATTAATTCCAACTTCCAGCAAGCAAAATGGCAGAGATCTTAAGCCAAACAAGACTCTTTTCCACAAACTCCATAGCTTCTGTCCACTCCAAAGTCTTCATTAAATATTTAACATACTATTTCCTTTTCTAAAATATTGCCAAGATTATATTGAAAAAATACTATTTAAAAGAAGGGGAAAAAATACTACAGAGAAAAAACAAAGCAGCAAAGTCATGGATTTAGCACTATGATCCCCAAGCTGGATTCAAAAGTAGAACTTTTGGCAAACTCCTTTAAAGATGCTTAAATAATATAAACGTGCTCCAACCATCACTCATTGCTATTACAAATCTGCATTACAAAGGATGAAGAATTACCTGAAATGTAGAAAATACTAAAATACAGCAGAATGAAGTGAAATTCCAGCACAAATGACAGCCAAAAGCAGCAACAACCAACAGCAAATCAACAATTTTTAACCCGAAAAACAGCCTAGAAAAGACCCTTAAACTTAGTAACTTTAAAAGAAAAAGGATCCCAGCAATCAACTTCAACACTCTTATGCTTTTGAAAGGTTTTTATCATAGAGAATTAACTCACAAAAGCTCACCACTTTCAGCTTACCACTAAGTGTTTAGATCCTATTTTTACTCTCAAAGTTGCGTCTTTTTAGTGTATAAAAGATGTCTTTTTCAAGTGTGTTCAAGCAACTTCAAAGATGTTAACAAAGTGTGTGTATTTTTTAGAGTCAAAAGATCTCTAGAAGATGTGTAAAGACCTCACCTTTATATGAGAGGAGGTGGAATCTTGGGACAGATTTTATTTTGCCAAAAATCTATCCAAAATGATGAATTTTTTACCAAAAATCTGTCCAAAACCAGAATTTTGGTTAATGGACAGTTTCTCTTACCAATTGTGGATAGAATTTTGGAGTATTGTACTCCAAAACAATCCGCAACAGTAAAAGCAACCAAACAAAGAACCCTACACTTAAGTATTCTCGTTTCTTTCCGTTTTCTCTTAATTTTTCAAACCAAATTCAAAACTAACTAGTCCACAAAGAGAAAGCAGATTCAATCTAGTTCAAACAGTTAGTAATTCGAATAAGATTAGTTAAGAGTCAACTAGTAGGAATTAAACAAGACTGAACCATATAATTACCTATACTAAACAACTATTTCGATCTCAATCTGGTTAATTAGGACTAATACCAGATCTTTGAACACATAAACTACTAACTCAAACTAAAACATGACAACGTAGGAAAGACAAACTCGAAACTGCAATCCAATAGGCGATTTAAGCTTAACGACTGAACGAAATCAAAACAACTCAACGATACTAACTAAATGATTGTTCTAGATTATTAGAAAGAGCAATTACTCAGCTAATCACAAAGTTAAACTACATGTCGAGCTACTGAAACGACAAACAAGAAACAAAACAAATATTCTTTGAGAAATTGAACTACTGCTTCAAACTAGTAAGATGCAAAAATCAAATAATCGAAGCTAAACTTTTAACTACCACTACTAGTCTAACTTGGGCAATTATAATTAAGCGAAAAAACCAAAACAATATTATACGAAGTAGTCGATCGATCATTATTAGAACTTAAACCTAAACAAAACTATCAAATCAAATAAGAAAAACTGAAAATCTAAGACAAAGAGAAAGGGACTAGGAATTTTACCAAACTCGAGCACTCGGGCAATGGCGGAACAGTGGCAGTGGTGGCAGTTCCAGAAGTGTTCAATCCCGAGCAAGCTCTTATTGTTGATAAACACTGAAACATTTAAACTCTGGTGAACCGGAGTTCAATTTCAATGTAATCAACAGTAAAATCTCGCTCTAGGTCCGAATATAGACAAAAACAAAGAGATTCGCCATTTTTGGTGGTTGTTGGCAACCCGCCGTAATCTAGTCACCAGAATTTCGGGTCGAGGACAAGTCCGTTGGTAGCCCACACCGAGCTCTATCCCTACATATGGGTATTAGGTAGAGGAGATGGCTCAATCTTCACGATTTAAAAAAAAAATGGGTTGTGGGGTTTCTTAGATCTAAAACTCGTGGAATTTGAGTGGGTTTTGAGGGATTTGGGTAGGAGATTTGGAAAGAGTAGATTGAGGGGAGTGTATGGTGATGATTTGGGGGTGTTTGGAGGTGCTCCGCCACCGATGGCGAATTCCGGCGGCGGCAGCAGGCGGAGCGAGGGGCTTAGGTCAGAGAGTGAGAGAGGGTGAGAAGAGAGAGGAAGAAGAGGGGATTAAGGGGAAATGGGGCCAAATTTTGGGGAATTATGGGTTTAAATACCTGGGTGGGAGATAGATAAGGGCCGTTGGATCAAGGAAATTGGACGGATGAGATTAGATCTTAGATTTACTTATCAAAACGACATAGTTTAGGCATGAAACTACGTCGTTTCATGATCTACTGGCAGCCCTATTTGGACCAGATCTGGGCTCTTTGGGCTTCTAATTTTGGGCCAATTTTGGCTCAATTTCAATTAAAATATACCAGCCCTGTCCCTTAACCCCTCCCCNAACTATCTTATTTAGTCCTAAAGAAAATATACAAGTAGAAAGAAAAATCTTTTTGGTATATATAATTTAAAGATGCAAACTAAAATATACAAATAAAAGGTAAAAAAATATTTTTGGTATTTTTAATAAAGGAAGGAAAATAAAATGCACAAATAACTACAAATCATCCAAATATTAGTATTTGTAGGAGAATTAGAAGCGAGCAAAAATTAGGTATTCACAGTTCCCGCAAATTCCTTCATGGACCTCTCTCATTACATAGTCCGTCTCCGAGGCTCTTAAACATCGGGAATACGGTCCTTGGAATGATCTCCTATATAATTGTCCACCAAGAGGTTGTAGCGAGCCACTTTGGTGCGTAGTGCCCGGGACACCTTCAGGTCTTCGGGCAACTTGCCTTGTCGTAGATAATCGATGAACTCATTCCTCCAGTCCCAGACTAGGTTTGTTGTATTTACTTCACAATGGTCGTCCACATCCAGTACCGAATGCATAAGTTTAACGACAGCACTGGAGTCAGATCTTTTGATATATGTGGACAACCCCAAATTGGCCAATGCATCTGCTTCTACGTTCTCTTCTCTCGGGATATGTGCGATCGACTACTCCTTGAATCGTGCAAGCAAGGTTTGAACTTTAATCACATACTGTTGCCTGTGTTCCTCCTTCGTGTCGAAAATCCTATACGCTTGGTTTACTACCAGTTGGGAATCATATTTGATTTCTATGACCTTGGAGCCAAGTCCCCAGGCCAATTCGAGTCCTGCAACCAAAGTCTCATACTTAGCTTCATTGTTAGTTAACATAACAGTTCTTATGGCCTGCCTCAGGGTCTCCCTTGAAGGCGTGATTAGGATATAAAGCCCCGTAAAATATTACCTAAAAACTTGGAATTTCGTGGTGCCAAGATAGGTTTTTGGGTTGAATAGTACGCTAAAGAGTTAAAGAAAAATATTTTGCAGAAGTGTGAATTTCTGCGGCCCATTATGTGGCCGAGAATCACTCTGCGGGCCGCAGAATGGCTGCAGAGTGAGGCAGTCTTCTTGGCCGTTTTTTATTTCATTTTTGCGGTCCACCAAGCGACCGCAGAACCATTTTGCAGGTCGCACTCCGATCGCATATCCAACCTCAAGATTTCTCATATGGTAGTTTTTTGGCGCATTATGCGACTGCAGAATGACCGCAGAAGCATTATGCGACCGCAGATCTACGTCAGGGCTCCTATTTTTTAATTTTTAAACCCGACCCTATTCAGTTAAAAACACATATCATACGCCATTTTTAGCTTATTCGTGATATTTTTAGAGTGAGGGAAAAAGTTCCTAGAGTGAGAAAGTGATTTTCATAAAATCACTCCTCAATCCTTGCTTAAAAATTTGAAAATTATCAAGAAAAGCACACTAGGTCTTCACCCTAAAGGTAAGAATCTATACCCTAGTTGTTAATTTCGAAAATTCAGTAAAAATGGGATAACTAGGAAGACAATTATTGAGTGTGGGGGTGGATATCTTGCATGCATGTATTCTTAAAGTATGTGGGGAGGTTGTGAGCTAAAGATAGTAAAGAATGGGGTGTGGAATGGTGAAATCTTTCATAAAAATGGGCCTTAAAACCTTAATTCACACTTGGAGGTTGATAAAATGCTCCCATGAGCTAGAACCATGATCATTTTTCTAATTTCAGTTCAATTTATTATATTTCTACAATAGATTGGTGTTGCTAAGATTCCCGAAATATTTTAGAGTGTAGGGGAGCTCAATTGAGGTATGCATGGCTAAAACCCTTCTTCCTATAATGAAATCCCACGGTGTTCACGTAATTGGTGTAAGTCCCCCATTGATCATTATAGAGTTTGCTATTCCAAATATGTTTGTGTTGTAAGATATATGTTCAAGGTATAATCCAAATGCCTTAATGCTTCATCATGTTATCTTATCAATTGAGGATGTATTTAAAATGTGGAATATGTGTTAAAATGTTAGGACTTCAAGTCAAATTCGAATAATGATTGTTATGCCAAGTTGTATGAAAAACCTCTATGTGCTTAGGATTCCCAAATTGCTCATATGTGTACTAATGTCTTAAATGATAGGCCTTAGTGTTGTTGATGATGATAATAATGTTGAATGTAAAAAAGAAAAAAACCGGAATGGTGAAATTCGACCAAGTGCCAAGAATCACTTTATAAATGAGGCCACTTGTGCCAATGTATTGAAAAGTTGGGAAAGAAACATGAAATGAGATGATTGATTGAAAGGATGATGTCTCAAATGAGATGGCTAGCCGATCGGGCCATAATCAAACGTCATGCCGTACATATGGTGGTAACTCTATTGAAAATTGTAATTGGAATTGCAGTGGTGGTTGATGTCTCTTATGAGATGGCCTAGCCGATCGGGCCGTGATCGGACGTCATACCGTACACATTGTGGTAACTGTGCTGGAAATGGTAATTGAAATTGTGGGTATGGTTGATGTCTCAAATGAGATGACCTAGCCGATCGGGCCGAGATCGGACTCCGTGTAAGAACACGGTGATATTATGGATTGTGGCATATCGGCACTAAAGACTCCCCAACCTAATAAGATGGAAATTGACTTGAGAACTTATGTGATCCTTACTTGATGTTTTAGTATTGTTGAAGTTCATATTGCATCCTTGATTGTTTTCTCCCCCATGTATTACTATTCATTCTATTGAGATGGTGATTTAGCTGTATATACTAGTACTATTTAATAGTATTAACGTCCCTTTTGTCGGGGGCGTTGCGTCTTTAAATGGATGCAGGTGGTTCCATAAAAGACATTGTTGATCGCAGTTAGTGGTGCGTCCTCTTCCCAGCAGACTCGGTGAGCCCCATTTCATCCCGGGGGTCATGTATTGTATCTTTTGTTCATATTTTTACCATGTTTTGAGTTATACCCGGGGTCTTATCACTGGCATTATCATAACTCTCTTTTGTATCTTTAGAGGCTCCGTAGACACTATGTGGGTGGTATATGGGTGTTAGAAAAGTCAAACGTGAATGTGTGTATTTGAAACTTACCCATAATGTAACTGATGGAATGATTTAGTAATGTATATATGAACTTCCTATTGTCTAATTAATGAAAACATGCCTTCAATTAGTCATAAGTGCGTTGGGTAGAAAGTGTCTAACAGACTTGCTCGACTAGATCCACTCGGTTGAGCGTTGGTCGCGCTCCCCGAGGTTAGGGCGTAACATAGGACCACCCCGAGCCTGGACCCTTTCATATTGGAAGCTCCATCCGTGAACAAGGTCCAAACTCCTGATGTCATTTCTGACACTAACATCGCTTCTTTAGCAGCCAAGGGCAATAACCTGAGATTGAAATCGGCCACAAAGTTAGTCAAAACTTGTGCTTTGATCGCAATCCTAGGCTTATATTCAATATCGAACTCACTAATTTCAACTGCCCATTTGGCCAACCGGCCTGATAACTCAAACTTTTGTAGCACATTCCACAAAGGAAAGGTTGTCACAATGACTATCGGATGGCACTAAAAATAAGGCCTAAGCTTTCGAGAGGCGATTACGAGAGCTAAGGCCAGCTTTTCGAAGTGCGGATAACGAGCCTCCGCTCCTGATAAAATTTTACTAACATAATAAGCAGGAAATATTGTACCTTCATTCTCCCAGACTAGAACGGCTCTTACTGCTACTTCTGAGACCGCTAGGTATATTAGTAATTGTTCACCTTTTGCCAATCTCAATAGTAGCGGGGGTCTTGATAGATAACGTTTCAGGTCTTTTAAGGCCTGTTGACATTCTGAAGTCCATTCGAAATTGTTCTTCTCTTCAGAAGTGATGACATTTTTTCTAGGATCAGAAGATGAACCTGCTTAGAGCGGCCAATCTTCCGGTTAGCCTTTGAGACAGGTTGTTCCCTTTCACCAGTATTATACAATTTGTGATGTGCTCCTAAGGATCTGAGGTCCTATCATACTTTGGTATGTCCGGCATCTTGAACAATTTTAGAATCAATTCTGGTGTTGTGCTCGGCATAAACGGCAACTAGGTGTACTTCTGCGAATCTCGGCCCTTTATGGTGGTGCACCCGGAATCTAGTCCATTTAGGCGTGAAACTCCTTCGCGTTCTGATCCATCCACTCGTTCATCTCCCTCATGAATCTCAGGAGTTCGGTTTTAAAGGGATCATTACTGTTGTCATTACCGGATCCGCTGCCGGTTCCCCAGCTCCGTCAACATCGACCTCACCCCTCGGGGTGTTGTTATCAACTCTTTGAGCCCTTTGATTTGCAGGAGCACAGAGAGGAACTGGGCCTCTTTCATTTGCGTTGTTGGAAGCACCTAAATGCTTCAATTACATTATGACCCGGTCCTACCTTGAGAGATGGCCCATGGTGGCTTTCTGTTGCTCTCTCAAGATCCTTACTATCTTTACGGCGAGTTTGTCCTCCATATCATCGGGAGTTAGTTCCCGCACATGTCGGGGATATTGTTTGCCATGGACTGGAGTTTCCACGTCCCCCTCGTTGTGGGTGTCACTGATTAAATCTTTATGTTAAGGAAAATTTTCATGCACCTCAACGTTGTGTGTGACGTTGACATCGTAGCTGTCATTTTCAATTTTTTGCTATGAAACAAAAAATCAAACTAGTTAGTAATAGATGCAGGGATCAACTCAATTACATCCAAACTGCTTAGCCGTAAAACGGTATGGTTGAATTTGCTACGTGATTTATAGA